AGAAAGGTAGACGTTTGCCGTCAATCGATTTTTCGTATCCAGGACCCACAAAGTATGGGTTCTGACTACACGTGATAGAGGGAGTAATTTACTGTATATTCGAACGAGATTTATCCACTTGTTCGTTACCAGGGCCCGGAATGAAGAGAGATTTTTTTGTCGAAAAATCGCCGTTTTTCTCTAGCATCATTACAATACTATCTTTATAGGTATACATGCATAAGCAGAACACGAGAAAGTAAAACATGTCCCTTCTGGAATTGGTAACACAGTGGCTGCTACAATTATTACGCACTTCAAGAGTTGCAGTCCAATTATATTCTAATGTATTTACATTTACATACTATTTCATTTCTGCCCTTCGGTGGAGCTGAAACCCTATTTTGCGGTGTGGCCACCTGCCCCCACTGCTAGTATTCCGTGTAGTCCAATATAGGAAGTTCCGTGTAGAATAAACTAGTTTGTGCTGTGTGTGTGTGTGTGTGTATACACTTACACATTAGTGTATTTAAAAAAAACAATAGAATACAGCAAAGTGACGGTTGTGTCATCTGTATTGCATTTACCAATATGCGTACAAAAATGTTAAAGAAAGAATTTGGAGCCGTTTTCGGGATATATTTTTTAATGTTGTCTATATTCTATTCAAAATAATGCGAAAATTACCAAAATTTTCATTACACGACATTAATTTGAAGAACTAATTGTGAAGAACAAATTTATTTCAAGAAAAGGTCTCTATCTTGAATACTGGTATTGTAGTTTTAGGAAAATGCCGATAATTTTTTTAAAAATTCTAATTTTCGAAAATTTTGAGTTAACAGTGAAAATCGGACATACGCCGTCTTTTTAAATGCATTTCACTCTATTTTTGCAAGAAAGTTTTTTTAAAAAAATAGAGCCATTTTTGCGAAAAGTTTGAAAATGTCGCAGGGACTTCATGTAAAATATAAAACTTTTTTTTTAATTGTAAAGCTTCGAGTCGGTCCAGATCGACCTAAGAATATTTTCTATGAAAATGCGCTGAAAACGTCGCATTTTTCGAAATGCCCAAATGATATTTTCTTAAAAAAAGTTCCAAATTTTTCAACGAAAATTTGCATTTAGAGCCAGGTTTGCCTCTTCTATAATGTTCTTAGTCATATATCAATTCTACTCTTAGGGAACCGAAAAAATGAGAAAACGTTAAAAATTGTCTTTAGGCGCCAAAAGATAGCAGCTGCGAAGACGCTGGGACAAAAAGATCTAGCAGGAGACTATTGTGCCATTCTGGAACTGCCTGCTGTATATTGTGCCAGTGGCGGTTCGTGAGTAAATAAATTGGTTCTGCACCGCGCAGAATTTCAAATTATCTTCAATCAAACTTTGTTTTGGGAGCTCAAACGCTTCACAAAACTTTACAATTTATTATTTACGTAAAAACATACCTATTCTTGGTGATATTTACATTGTGTTTCTGAATATTCCACCAATAAGCAGAATCCGATTGTGATAGTACGTTTACTGCCCCAGTAAATGATAAATGAACTTGATTATTCAAATATGACTTCCGCAGAGGCGCCAACACTACTTGTGTTTGCTATACACTTTTATAATGGTGTCTTTTTTTTTGCCGGCGGGCACTCATTTCGCTACGTTACTGGCACGATTCACCACACACAAGACGAAAGAACACTGAAAAACACTCACTTCATCAGGCAACTGTTACGTAATGCGAGATGCACGAATTCTCGCCTCTGCGATCGCACGTTGGAAAGGCAGTTGCGTAATGCGACTCGGAGTTATTCATGAAGCAAATGGAGCTTCTCAGAACCCACGAGCTGCTTCGAGCGCAGCTCTCGTGGTCTCTTATGAGCGAGCGAAGACCCAACCAATAACAGAGATTGAAGCTCCTGAACATTTAGCATTGCTGTCAAATTGCAGCTCACGGAAGCCTCGGTGAGCGCTGCGCGCCCAGTTGGATTCCCAATTAATCGCAAGAAGAGTAGACACAGACTATGAGCCATCCAAAAAGATAGCTGTCTTTCTAGAGCAAAGTCTCTACAAAAATATTTCAGAAAAGTAGAATACGTAGGGGTTCTGCAGCACTCATTGTAGAACCGCTCCTCGTTGTAGAAGGCGCATTGTATTGTGCCATTACATCAAGCGTAGCATAGTGTAAATATAAGAAAATTAACAATTAAACAAATGAATTAATTTCATGTTACCTTAAACAGTGCAATTAGCACTATCCATACGAACAGTTTGAAGAAGAAAAATTGAAGCCGTTTTTGAGAAAATGTCGTTTGAGAGTTCTGAAAATGCGGAATTTTGAGCTCATTTTCACAGAAAACTGTTGGGCTTTCAGGAAACTTTATCTGGCATTATTAAAGCACATGTACTCATAATACATTAATGTAAACAAATAACCGCTAATGTAAATATTAACGACGCGAGAGACAAGTAAAAAATTCACTTTTGTAATTTTTGAAAAAACAAAAGAATAGAGCAGGATAGCGTTTCTGTCATCTTATAGAGTGCATTTAGTTCTATCCCGACCAAAAGATACAACACTTTTTCTGTACCAGGAGACCCCAAAGCGTGTATTTCCGTTGATTCTCGAAATCGATTTTCCGCAGCATTACGAAACTTTCCCAGTACATAACTACATTATGTAACTTACATAATAAATTCTGTGTGTAACTCCTTATTACGTATGTGTACGGGAAAGTAAAAATAAGAGATGACCAGTTTTACTTTCCCGTACATACGAACGTATGTACGTATATACGGGGTAATATAAATAGTATACGGAAAGTTATGTAATGCTGAGGAAAATTAATTTCGAGATTTCAACGGATACACGTTTTAGATTCCCCCGATACCGAAAAAGTGGACCTTTTCAAAACGTTCGTCTGTGATCCCTACTTGCGCCTAAGCCATGCGTAGGTTTTTTTCCAAATTGAAGAAACTCCTGTCCACATGGCTCGCGTCGAAGCTTTGAGATTTTGAAAAGCATTCTTTAAAACTTGAGAGTACTTTACACGAAGATCTCCGGACATTTTCAAAATTTTCTCAAAAACGGCTCCAAATTTTTTCTTTAAATTTCTTGTAAGAATGAGTAACATACGCTTATAAAAGTGGCATAGGTCCGATTTTCAGTTTACTCTCAATTTCCGAAAATTTTAAAAGTATTAATTTTTTCAGTGTTTTCCTATAACTACAAAATTAAAGATAGAGATTTTTCCTTCAAATGAAATTGTTGTCCATAATTAGTTCTTTTATTAAGATCTTGTACCTTTTTTTGAAAATTTTTGTAGTTTTCAAGTAATATTTTCAATTTAAAAAAATACAAAAACACTTTTGGTAGAGATAGGGCTACATGTACTCTATGAGTTGACATAAACATCAATTTGTTTTGTTTATTCAAAAATTACAAAAATATAATTTTTTGACCTGTCTCTAACGTTGTTTATATTTACATTTTCGGCGATTTGTTCACATTATTATGTTTATGAGTACATGTGCTTTAAATAATGTCACATAAAGTTTCGCAAAAACTAACGTTTTTCAGTGAAATCTAGCTCAAAAATCCGCATTTTCAGAAAACTCAAACGCTATTTGCTCAAAAACAACTCCCAATTTGTCTTTTAAACTTATGGAATGGATGGTGGTAATTGCTCTATTTAATTTGACGTAAAGTATTTTTTTGTTTTTTCAAAAAATATACAAATTAATGCCTATTTGTTGAAAACAGCTCTAACGTTTTCAAAGAAAATTGCCATTTAGAACAAGGTTTTATTGTTCTTTAATATTCTTAAAATAATATACCTGTTTTACTACCAGGACAGCGAAAAATTAAGAAAAAAAAAAAGAAAAAAAAAAAATTATTTGGGTGACAATAGGTGGCAGTTGGCAAGAGCATGCGGCAAGTCTGAATAGCTAGTGGAGACCAAAAGAAATAGAAAACTAATGGGGATAAGTCTGTGCCACCACTAGTTTTATATTCGTTCAATTTTCATCATCATGCTTCAATTTTGTCTTGAACTAATAAAATAAAGAGGAACTACTAAAAACTATAATATGTAAAGTAAAAACTTGAATTTACCAGGCTGGGTGGCTGAAATAGGGGTTGTACCAACTCAATCCTTGACGCCGAACATGAATGTTGTCATGACTTATGGCTATTGTCTTTCTTCGTGAGTGTGGTATTATAGTGGGCCTTGTTTGTTGTAGTTGTGGACAATTGTTTTAATTACATATGCTGATTAAACAATCACCAATATTTCAGTATTTAAGGAACACAAAAGGTTGAAAATGTTAAGAAACATAGTAAACAAAATGAGGAAATATAGCTAAATTGATGAAATATAAGAGTTATTTTGAAACAATTATGAGCCATTGAAGGAATTTGTGAATCCAAAAACGTCTGCCAAATCCAAGCTGTTACAAGAATCAAAGTAAAATATCATGAAAGGGATCACAAAGAAAATTTCTCAGACACTTAAAAATAAGAAATTATTAAAAATGAAACAATTACAACAAAACATTTTAAGAAGGAAATGTAATTTCAAATAAGTTATTTAGATAGTATACATTTTAAATGAGAGAATATATTTTTTTTAAAAGCTTCAGAATATAACTATGAAAATTATTCCCAAGAAAGTACTATCATGCATACACAACTGGAGGATTAACATCAATCATTTATTTAACAAATGTGAAAGGTTTATCGGGCCCTAATCATTCTATTCATTAGGCTCTACAAATTTCATAACTTTCAGTTAATAACATCCTACAAGATAAAAGTTCATAAATGTCTAAGGAAGTGAGAGGAACACACAAAGATTGTGTTGGTTGACAAGTTCTTTCGTCAAATATTATTTAATAAATTAACACACTAATGAATACAAAAGCTTATAAATTAAGATATAGTGAACAAGATGAAAATCATTAAGTTTTAAATTAAGTATGAAAGTAATGATAAAATCAAATAGAAAGAAGACTAAAAGCTCTCAGACCTGTATGACCACTGTTGGTAACTTTCATTTTGTGTGCTGTTTCCTCATAGTGGTTCCATTCAAGATCTGGAAGTTCAATGTCAACTTTATGACGAATATTCAAATCAATGGGTGATGGATAACTTCCATCTACGTCTGATAAAGAAAGCACATGCTGGATATTTTCCACGAGTTCTGAAAGTAAATTACACATATTTATATACTTCATAAAAGTTTGAGAAAATGGCAATAATGTTAACACTTTTGTCCATCAAAAACTGCTTTCAGAAGTGAATTAATATATATTGTTGGGAGTACAAAAAAAAAAAAAATTTCAATAAAACCTGAACAACATGTGATCAGATCAATTTTCAAAATTAAAAAATAATGTATGTGAACAATAAGAAACAAAAATTTTAGACTGCAATAAATGAAGAATACAGGCTTCCAACTATATAGGCCCTAAATGTATTTTGTTTTTCTTTACATACATGACAATAAAAGTAATGTCTAACAGATTCTTATTCCAAATCCAAATTTTTAGAGTTGCATTAAGAACAAAACATGGTCAACATGACATCACTGTACTAGTTTTGAGCACTTTAAAGTTCATTTGCACATATCTGACAGACATTACTGAAAAGTGTATAATGTGAGGAGTGTATTTTAAATTATTTACTAGCTTCCGTATGAGGCATTGTTTCATATTCACTAAATCAAAATACTGCACTTATTATATCTTGAAAAGTTTATGATCACACAAATACAATTAATTTCTTCTTTTTGGGGTACATTGCTATTAAAGGAATTTTTAGTTACATTTTGAATTTTGAATTGAACACTTTTGCTCTAAGAGACCAAAAGGAATTATCATAACTAATCTCCATTGTTGTGAAATATGAAGGTAGTCTTAGCAATTGTTCAGGCATTTTAAGGAAAGAAAAAATAGAAAGGAGAAATCAGAGAGAATTAGGTTTCTATACTTCTTATGAAGGAGAGGGAATCTTTTACCACAAACAATTTGCTAAAATAAATGTTTTTCAGATTCACTTTAAAAATGTCTTTCTGATCTTCAACTGATTGCTCTTGAATACATACAAAATTTATAAGAACACAAAAATTGTTTTTAAAGAAATTTATTTTCAGGAATATTTTAAAACCGTAGATATTGAAAAATTATTACAAATAGTAACTTTCCTTATTTTATTATGTTCAATTTCAACTATTTGATTTTTGTTTCATCTAGTAAAGCAAAGCACTTTCTATAAAAATAATTTTTCTATATATGAGCTTTCTATGATATTTAATGATTCTAAGGAAAAACAATCTTATCTTAATAGTAAACAATACAATTCCAAAGTAGCTAAACTTGAGACAGCATTTCAATTATCTTACAAAGTAAGATTTATGAAGTTAACTAAAATAATTCTTATTTTACCAAGTATCTACGTTTACAATAACCAAAAATAAATATATTGATCATTCATAAAAAATAGTTTTGGTGATTACAATTGGGAGATGAAACCAAGTAATAACACATTTTCTTGCTTTCAATAAAATTGATGAAGATATTCCAACAAAAAGGAATTTGTATCTGTCATGATTTGTTTTTTAATGACAAATGTAATCAACAAATAAAAGTTACTTTTTACAGATAACAGGTTAAATATAGTCATTTTCATAATGTTATTGATACTTACATTCTTTTTTTTATAAATATATTTATATAATATTTGTGATTTGAAGTCCCTTCTTATACTAATTCTATGTCATGAAAAAACTTATGAAGACTTCTTAAAAGTAGTAATAGTATTTGTTTAAGAAAACTCACATGATCACAATTTAAAAAACTGAGAAATAAAAATAAGATAATTTAATTTTGATTAATTTGGTAAACACATTCCATACCAAATGACAACCAAGTCAGAGAGCAGTTATTTATAACTTAGTTACATTCACTAAACATAGTTCAACAGTTTTATGTTAAATTTTAAATTGTACAGTCTGAAATAAATAACACTTTTTGCTTCAATAAAATAAAAATTCATACGTATAAACATCCAATAGGTGACTCCAAATAATTATTAATTTCTCTAATACTGTACTACACAGTTACTGCAAAGTTCTGTGAGTTACTTTTTGACTGACATTCTATTTCAATAAGTTTGTCAATATTTCCTTTTGTAATAATTTGTTAGAATAGGCAATAAGCAATCCAAACTTATGAATGTATTTTACTTCAATTTCCAATTGGCTATGTAATAGAATTAAGATATTACAATTTTTTTTTCTTTTCTACAATGATAGGATCTACAAGAAGAAATGAGTATTACATCTTCAAATTGAAATACAATATACTTTTTCTTAATGTTTCAGCAACTTTGTAGAATTATTACAGAAATGTATACCAGCAATATTACAATTTGTGAGGACGACAATTTTGTAAGAGAAATTACCCCACAAATCTTTTTGACAAACATCCACATGTTACTCAGCATTTGTTGGTTACTTTTAGAGGATTTGTTTTAACAAATTTATATCACCAAACAAATTTTAATAGTACAAAATATTTCTGTTTTTATATATATATATATATATATATATATATAATATATATATATTATATATATATAATATATATATATATATATGTTAAAATTGTTTTATTTTATCATTCTAAATCACTATATACTTCATTTTATGGAGTGCATACTTCTGCAGTGCTTTATACAGTCTACTCTACATATTCTTACTTCTATTTCAGTAAGAAACAAACAGTAAAGCCTTTTTTAATTCTGAGTAATTACAAATGTGTAAAAGATATTTTATTTAACTACACCTGTAAAATCACAGGATAAAATTGTTTATAAATTTCATTTATTTATGAGCATTATGAAAAGAAGTGTAACATTTCATAAAACATACACTTTTTCTCAATCTAAAAGTTCTAGTAAGCAAATTTACCTCTTAAAATGTTTAGCCACAGAACAGAAAATGATATTTCTGCACTCTGTATTTGGTGTACATATATTCATTATTAACAATGTATAAGGAATGAAAGAGATTTTGAAATAAGCAAGTTAAGAGACAATTACAAGACATTGTTGCAAATTGTTTCAAAATGGAGAAATAGAAAGTAGAGATAACATTTCTGTACTAAGAATGTGTCTAGCTTTTTCTAACTGCAAACAATAAACGTAGTTAACTTAGAAACACCAAAGGGCTAACATCTCATAATGAAAAACAGATCAAAGACAGTGTGAAACGTGAATTACACAAACTCAACTTTTAACAATTTTATAGAACTTATTCTGGAATAAATTATTTACAACATATCACTGTAATCAGTTAAACAATTATTGTACTCCTGAATTTTACTTAGCTTTTATTTGGTATTTTTAATGAACATTTATAAAAGGATAATATCAACTAATTATGTTTCATTAAAAACCACACACAGAAAAAAGGTATTACACAAAACTACTGTATAAAATTTGCAGGATTGTCAGTGTCATGTGAAGTGAGAATATGAAATGTAAGTAAAATGTAATGTGGGAAACATTACAGCAATCGTTGTAGAATTAAATTTTGTGAAAACAACTTAACTTAATAATAGTTATGAATATGTGGAAGAGGTTAAGGTGAGAATATACGAATAAGGCTAACTTGAGTGGAATACATGATAATTCTTGAGATTTAAAAGGAGCTAAGAGAATACAAAAATTAATGTCAACATTTTCTGTGACAGTTTGGTGTTTGTTAAATTGAATTAATCTATTAATTAACTGGTTGAGAAAATACTGTTACTATCAAAGATAGATTTTCCTATTTAAATGCATCTTTCTATAATCAAAAGGTTCATAACAGATGCAAGAATGTGTACAAGCTGATAGCTATTTATAATCAATTTTTTTTGGTATGTAATATTATAGCCATACTGTGAATATTTTGCTGACATCGTTTTTAATTTAAAAATCATTGTGTCTTTAGGTATTCAAAAAGTGAAATTTTGGAAGTTTTTACATGATTTGCAGGACTTAATGCAAGATTTTAACAAAAAGAAAAAAAGCTGTCTTTCCTTAATTGATAAAAATAAATGTGTTTCAAGTTAAAAAGTGATGTCTATAGGATTTTACAGGAAGTCACTGCTTTTAACTCCAGAGACATTTCAGCAGTATTCAAGTTTATCTTATAACAAAGTAATTACAAACATTCTGAATAGTTTATCCAATTCTTCATTGTGCGTCACAATAGTGTGCGCTTATGTTCATGCTAATCTAAACATTTAAAATGTTTTTTGACCCTGTTGCTACAATGTCAACAATCTGATTTCAACTTTATCAGAATTTTTTCTTTTGCAAGCATATTTTCTACAACATAATAAAATACAGATGGGAGAATATCACAAGGAGGTAGTTTTTACTCTCCAGGGAAGGCTTTTTGTCTACCTGATAAACAAGTGTTCTGAGTATTAAGTACATCACCAATTTTTTGTATTGAGCAGTTCTTTATATTTCTGATTTCACAAAGTAGTTCTTGATCTGATACTTCTTTTCAACAACAAAATTACACAAAGTAAACAACGTAGAAAGTGAGAATAGCAAGGAGGAAAAATGCTAAAGTATAACCAATCATGATGCGGGCCACTTTCTGTTGTTCTGAAGGAGAAAGTTGTTCCTTTCTCCGTCGTGGTACTGGTTGTTGATGATTCTCCATGGTCCCCTGCACAAGTAACAATGGTTCCAGCACCAGCAATGGGCAGGGCTCAATGTCACCAGTTGCGAGGGGAACATATCCACGAGGGCGATGAACAGCCTCCGATAGTTTTGGACCATCATCACTAGCATCTGAATCTCCATCACGTAGTGTTGGTGGTAATAGAGAATCCATATCACTGTGTACAGAGACAATGATTTCATCTCTTGAGTGAGAGGCACACGTGGTCTTCACAGGTTTTTTATGTTTTCCTTTCCATTTCTGTTCACAATGTGTAACTCTTGAAACCATATTCCTATATTGTGTATATAGCAGACTAGACTTTTCATCACAATATTCCCTGATAAGATTAATAGATATTTCTTCCCAACAGAAGTTGCTACTACTGTACACAAAACTACAAGCTGCAGTGTATTCTATTAAAGGCAGAGATGTTTCACTTTTATCCTCACCATTCAAATCTGGTGATGGTTTATTGATTATATGTTCATCATATTTATTCATTAGCAACAGGCCAGAAAAATTACTAATTTTATGATACGGAAAAGGATGAATGGGCATGTAATGCCCAACATTATATTCCAATCTTGGCAGTGAGATTGCATCATAGCCCAGAACAGGTTCTGGAAATATGGCACCTAAAAGAGTTTGGCCTTCCTTGAAAAATCGATCACTGTATACTGTTTTCTGTGAACAGGGCTGAGTGTGTGCGATGTTAAGCACACACCTTCGGTAGAGTCAGTTATCAACCAACTCAAGTGTTGCAGGAGGATATTCTTCCAACCGAGAGAGATCATGGAGAACCTATAAATAAATTTCTCATTAATAACATCCAATTATCTTCATGAAAACAAATTTTAAGGAGGAATGGTCAACAAAATAAAAGAATAAACACTATGTTTTCAAGTACATTTTCTCCATAGCTGCCATTCTTAAACACAATATTAAAGCCTGACATCATAAGTGGTGATTACTCATGTGTGACAATAGATTGTTAACTGAGGTAAAATGGATTCATTACTGGTTTTTGTATTAGATATTTTATCTTATTAAAGAATTGCAATGTTATTAAGTTTACACACATTATTTGTGGATGAGAAAACATTTTTCAAAATGAAAATGAAGAATTGCATGTTCACCTTGTTATGATGTGTTAGTTATGCAAAGAAGTGATAGTTGGAACTCTGACAAAAAACATTTGGAACTTTATGAATGGTTGAAGAAAGTAACGTGACCAGTAAAAGTGTAAAACAAAGATGTATAACATGATAATTTATATTGGATGATAATTTATATGATGGCAGACATAGGATTTTAGTATCTGACAGGTACAGTAGAACCTTGAATTGCAAACACAATGCATTCTAGAAATGTGCTCACAATCCAAAACTTGTGTATCAAAGTGCATTTTCCTACAAGAAATAACTGAAATCCTGATGATTCGTACCCAGCACAAACTATTGTATTTAAACAGAACAATTAATACAAAATGCTGTGAGCAAATATTTGTAACCATGAGGGCAGAACTTGCAACAGAAAGTGTTATGAACTTGATCACAAGTTTGGGCAGAGAGCTAGTTGCCCCCAAGAAACGCGACTGCAATCCTCCCTAATCTGTAACTTTCAACACCCATGGAAACTTAAAAAATGTAGTCAGGAAGACAAGCCCATCCCTTGCCTTTCTCCTTGGCAGTGTGAAGGAGAAAGAACTTCTCAGGCAGAAAGGATGGAAGGACCACAGTTTATTGACTCTAAAACCAAATGTGAGAAAATCATTATACACACAATTCCACTGTACAGTTGGGAAGGGGAGGGGAGGCTATCCAGTTGTACTTGTATTGCAAAGTATCGCTTTTATATTGAGTTAAAATATCTTCAAAATTTTTGCTTGTCTTGCAAAACACATGCAAACCAACAATCAAAGGTTCTACCATATGTATTTTTTATTTAATTTTCAATGGTATAGCTCTAATCTAGTATTTACATTGTTGATCAGAAATTATCATGTTAAACTACACATATAAACATTAAAACAATGTTAATAGAAAATAAAGATGTGTTGAAAGGGTTAGGAGAGGAGAGAAGATTTAATAAAAAGTATACTCAAAGGTGGTCTATAAATGGAAGAGGCTTATTGACAACCACAATTGTGAATACTGAGCAAGGAACAAAAAGCCACAGAAAAAGATGTCTGAAACTGGTGGAAGAAGTGAAATATCTTAATTATATGAGGGAGAGTCAGAAAATAAGTTTCCCTATTTATTTCCCTGAGCATTAATGCAATGCAACACTAACAACATGGAAAATAAGTGACAGTATGTGAAAGCTATGACATTTGGTATTAACACTTTCCAGCATTGAATTGTCTTGCAGGATGGCACTTTGACAAAGTGAAGGGTGCTGTGAAGGTTTTTCCATATTCAAAATATTTTGATTTTTCTAATTTGTACAGAACTATGAAAAACGCATCAACACTTTTGGTTCATAAATTGAAAAATACAGTGGATCTTGTTTGTAATCACATATTCTTTATCTAGCCTCTCCACACCCACCAAAAGAAACTTCTTTCTGATCTCTCATAAGAATACAAAGATGACCAAAGACAGAGGCAGATGGAAAAAATAAATCTGTAGGGGATATGCCATTTGGCTCGATGATGATGGTCAACCCAAGTACCAATGGCTACAGTATGCTTATCTTGGATGTAAAATAATAAGAGGAAACAGAAAAGATAGCTGTGAGGAGAAATAATCATTCATCAGCATTTACCACTTAAAGAAATTTGGATATACTTTGAAGTTTGATGCAATGGAGCCACATTCTTTGATTAAAAATGAGATGAAGTAAACAGAAATAACCTGCAATCTGTCTCAGGCCATTCCTCTCTTTGGATGCAATGAAACTTAATCTTCCTTGAATCAACCCCTAACAAACTACAAATTTATGAGTATTTATATTAAAGCACAATAAAATATTAAATTGTGTTATTCATTTATATTAATTTGTGACACTATATTTTTGTAAGTATTGAAAAAGAATATTAAACATGTTTATAATATAGGTATTATGCAGTATAATTTACATGCTATTTATTTATTTAATAAGTTAACCAATGATATTGCAAACTTCTATAATACTACAAAGCTATTTCAATTTTCAAATGTTACAAGTGTTTTGAATTATAATAAGTGTTATAAATTACTGTATAATAAAAAATATTTTAAAAAAACATTAACAAATATTTTTGTTCTATCAATACCATCTACTAGACCTCTAAATTTTATTTGTTCCAATTATTGGAAAGAAAATGGAATAGAATAAATTTTCATTCAGTGTAAGCTGCCAAAAATTACTCTATTATCTTTAACGGAATACCCCGTAGGTTTTGTTTTCAAATCAAGCATGAACTACTGTAATGATCTAATATGTGTAACCTGTTTTGTTGAACATACCTCCAAAAGACAGCCCATGCTCCAAGCCTGTGTAGTACAACTACCAGGACAAAATTTGCCTTCACTATTGGTCAGTTCAGGAAGACCTCGCCATGGAGAACTCTGAAGAGCAGTGAAATGCCGAGCCAACAAAGCCCGGGTGTTGGCAGAAACACGTTGTATCTCAGCTTCTCCACCCACTGCTCTAGCAAAGTGAAGCCTTGCCCGTAGGAAATATCCCACTGGCCATAGCCATTCCTGCACAAACAATAAAAAAGTCCTATATGTATATGTAATATGTAAGGAGTCCAGGATGGCCACTCATTTCCCAGAACAAATTTCCCTGACTTTTCCTGATTTTCCAGTGCAATTTTTAAAAAAACATTTCTGCTAAGATTTGTAACTTCTTAATGAAAATATTAAAACTACCTTGATACTAATTAGTCAGCTATCTGATTTTCTTGACTAAGTACAAATTAACAATATTTTCGCACCATAAAGAAAGGAGTAAAAAAAATAATTATGTACTAATAATTTTAAGGAACATCTTGTTTTATAGCTCTTTCAAAATTTTATCTGACTTCCAGTGATTCTTCTACCAACTTTTCCTTGACTTTTCCAGAGCAATGAAGTTCCAGATTTTTCCCAATTTTCCAGTGAGTGGCTAGCCTGGTGGCTTGAAGCACCATTGAAAATTCATAAAACTTACAGGGCCTTGATGATAATTGAATCCATGAGCAACATGAGCATCATTTGAATCATTGGAGTTATCATAGTCTCCCCGATAATTCCAGTCAGCTGGATCTAAAGTTTTCATTCCTAAAGGACCTAGAAGAGTGCTTTCTAGTTTCTTAAGAGCAGTCCATGCATGGGCTGGGTTGAAAAGTTCAGGAGCCTTGAAGGAAAAAAAGTAACAATGTAATATAAGAGTACATAAAGAATAAAAAGTGCATCAGATTAAAACATATCAAATGGACATAGTAAGAAAATGATGAAGCAATCATCTTCTGTAGACTGTTAATACTTACTGCCACCATTGCAACAGGAAAATTGCAACGAAGTTGGAAATCACACCAAGCTTGTGATGCGTGGTAGGTGTCTTTATAAATGCCTCTCTGATGAATCAAATCAGAGCGTTCTTCTCCAGCAGTTGGAGTAGAATTTACATAAAAACATTTTTCAAAATTGGCTGCAATCTTCTCTCCCCACTGACGATATGTCCATGAAAATACAGATCCTGCAAAACATACACAATTCTCTTTCACTTTTTATATTGTCAAACTACAACAGTGGTAGCTCATGACTTTTGTAATCCTTTTGTAACAATTGTAATTAGGAAATAGGTTGATCAGACATTAACATTTTACATCCAACAAAATCAGTTATTCATAAAAACGCAAATATATATAAAAGAAATAATTTCTGTAATCCATAGAAAGGGAAGGAAGGATGAATGTTCAAATTATTGAGGTGTAACTGTTTTAAGTACTTTTCGGTGTTAACACAGAAGAGTTTTGAAACCTTATTTGGAAGAAGAAGAATTTCAAATTAAAGAAAAGGAGATTCAAACTGGTTATCATGTAGGTAGATCAACGAAGGATCATGTGTTTGTAATAAAACAAATAATTGAAACACTTGATGCTGTTGGTCAACAAATTCATTTTCTTCTTACTGATTTGGAAAAAGTATTCCACTTTTGATTTTCACACGAAATTTTAAAAGAAATTATAGCTATTAACATACCTAGTAATGTTATGAATGTTATTACTGCAGAGTTAAAAAATGAGACGGAGTGCAGCAGAGCTGAGATTTTTAATTTGGACAAGGTAGTAATAACACTGTAACAATTTCTGGGTATGCTTTGATACTATTGATCACCATAAAATCTCACAATTTATACGCATATTTGATCCTGATCAAGATTCTGATAAAGTTAAAATTCTCCAAGCACTCTCATAGCCATTTATTGTTTAAATAAAATAAATATTACTATATAATTGCAAATAACTAAAAAACCCATTATAAAAATATAGTATTTATATTTTTTGTGTGCCAGTATATATAAACAATATGTTATTTTAATTAATTTGGTATCTTTTAATTTGAATACTCCATTTCCCATGTAACACATTGAAAAACAATTCAGAGCTAGTGGTGCATGGTGGTCAAAATGCTGGTACACAGAAAAGTGGGTGGCCAGCCAGCCTGGCCATCAGAGCTCAGCTCTGCCTACACGGAAAACATTCAGTGCAAACTGGGAATGAGATGTGACCAGTATAATTGGCCATTTGAGTGCAAAAAGTTCAAAGTAGAACTTCTACCTTCTATAATTAAATGAGAATTAAATCTACAGGTGCAATAAATTAAAGCAACAATAAATAAACTAGGCGCACTTCTGATTCTATCAATAAGTGAACCCAAAATAACATACCATCCTTATTTTTTCTTGAGACTGAAGAATATGGATATGCTCCTTTCTCATGCATTGCTGACAACCACAAGAGAGTGCGCATGCTTAGTCCCACCAACTCTACCGCACTTCCATCTCGAGGAGTGGCTGGTCGGCCCCGAGTGCCAGCTTTTTCACTGGAACCCATTTTATCCATCCACGTTCCGCAATTGTATGAATTGCCACCAAATACAAATCCTGTTGACAAGTTACCAATTCAAATATCAAGGCACATTATTTAAGGATACACACATACTCTACCCCTTTTGAAATTTGTTTTTTCCAGAAACTTTACAACTACAAACTGAACAGTTATTCCAAATACGTTCATACAGATGAAAATAAAGTATAGTTTTTTTAAAAAGTGCAAAAAAATATACAATATTTACATTTTGACCGCTCAATAGCTAGAAAGATTATATTTGAAGTGAGAACAAAAATAATTTAAAATTCATCTTAACCAATTCATTAATATATTCCTTTTCCTTAAAAAACCTGTTGAAAAATGAATATCAGAATCATTAACTTTGCAAATGTGAAAAAAGGTTTTTTTAACTCCACTTCAGTGGTAAGGTAGATAAATAATTTTATCCATTATTTTAGCAATACAAATTCTCCATTATACATAATTTTTTTTTATATCATAAACAAAGCCATTTTTGAGAATAATATAATTGTTTGGGGCAAGTCTAGCTAGAGATTCATTTTAAAAATTAATAGGGAGTTTATGCACAACATAGTGAACACCACTCTTGATCTTCTGCTCATGCACAGATGCACTAAAGTGATCTAAACCTTAAACTGCACATGTGCAGAAGTTCGATAGCAAATTAACTTATGAGGGTGCAAAAACTTTCTAAAACATCTACAGCCTTAATAATTTGTTTATGACTTCTTGTACGACTTTTTATGTGAAACCCCTTAATCATCAAGCTTTGCTCTTAGAAGAGTGTGCTAGAACTCTTTTGATGTAACTAATATGTAATGAATTTAGAAATAAGCTAGCAATAAATATATCATCATCATCATCATCATCATCATCATCATCATCATCATCATCATTGTTGTTATTATTATTATTATTATTATTATTATTATTATTATTATTATTATTATTATTATTATTATTATTATTATTATATTGTATATACCTGTTTCAGGATGGACTCCTATCTGCACATTGAAGCCTTTGTCTGTCATATGAGCATCAATACTACGACCTGCATTTCTTTCACGAAAACATAAGCCTTGAAAATGAACTGTCAATGCTTCTTGCATCACTTCATACAAAGGTTGATCCTAAATAGTGTCATAATTTATAAACACAGTTAATTACATAAATATATGAACATTCCAATACAAACAAATATTATTCAAAGTGTGCATAGTTAGAAGTAATCTATTCACATTAACACTACAATCTGTGAAGTAGGTGTATTTACGTAAGTTAATTGATAACATTGCATCCTTACAAAATTATTACATATTTATTTCAAATGACAGATGAAAAACAACTTGGTGAAGAAACACTGACCATTTTACCAGCAGGCAACGGTGGAGAATCATCAGTAGGAAAAATGCGTGACACTGGATCCTGCAATATACTTGCACCACCAGGGACTTCTTCAACGTAACTCTGAATGCAGTTCAACCACCACCACACAGCATCACGACAATTGAATCGCGAATTAAGACCACCATCCAACAAGTTGGGAATTAGACCATGCCGTAGACAAGCAGCATAACCAAGAATGTGAAATCTGGAACAAGTAATTCAATTTCAAACTCGTTAAGTAAATTTGAAAATCCAGAGGTTTGTGAAGGTTTGTGACAATTTTATTTTTTTATTTATAATTAGACAGATTGAATAGTTACAAATTAAAGATACAAAAGAGAGCCTATTAACATTAAACATTATCAATTTTAAAATTAATTAAATTATTTGTTATAAATTAAAAGAAACCACTTTTATTTTTTACAAACAATAAAAGATGGATTTTAAAATGGGAATATTTGCAATCAAAATGCTCTTTCATTGATGATGAAAGTTTTTGTGCCCTAGATAACAATATCGATAATATCCAAGAGAATGTGGAACATATTCACACACTATTAACTGAAAAAAATCATGTACACATAGGGTCCCACGGCTCACGTTCATGACTTCTAGGCTGTCCGGGTGACGCTGTGCCATTGGCTGAGAAGCTGACATTTCTCCTGTCATATCACAGGCTTCTTCAGGTTAGTGAGTCACTCTCACTAGCCTGAAGAAGCCTGCGATATGACAGGTGAAATGTCGGCCCGTCAAACAACAGCCAAGAAGTCATGAATACAAATCATGGTTCACATCATCAACACAATGGCATCTCAAAAGAAGTGGAAAAACAAATGTTGATGTAAAGCATCTAGCAAGAAATATTATAAGAATTACATTACTAATGTAAAAACAGTTGACTCTGGTTGTAGCATATTGCTGTGAACTAAACTCTTTTCTCTACATCTGATAATCTCAGTATATAATAGTTTTTTACCTGTAACTGATTTTAATATTTCAGAGGTGCAGTAAAATATTCTATTGCTGTGAAATCAAATCAACAATCAATGTTCAAAATTACTATTCCTGTACTTAAAATCACTAAACTTAAGATATTGGTATTGAATTTCTTTTGCTGCCTAATACAATTTCGCACACCCTGCAATTTTCAACTTCAGCAAATGCCTGGAAGGCTAAGCATTGTTCATGTGTCATGCTCTCTGAAGTGCACTTCCGCTGATCATTGTAGTTCAATTGCCCCCTCTCCTCTCCGAATCTCTTTCTCCACCATAGAGTGACATCCATTCCCTCCCTAACATAACGCATCTCCCAGTTGCCTTTCTGGACTCGCAAAGTGGCTCATGGCTCATGGCTACTCAACAAGATCCCCAGTTGAACAGAGCTGTTCTAATGCTTACTTGCTATATTGGGACCAGCGACATGAGTGCACTACATCCAGAGATGACTGTATGTTAACATTGAAGCACAATAAATGTGTTTCAATATTCTTATGTTCAATTTTTATTTAGCCCAATTCAGAATATTTAAAATTGATACAGAGATTGCATTATATAATTTCAAGAAAATAAACATGTGAGGGAAATTGTAAGCATCTGAATTATACTGCACATGATAAGATAAAAATATAACTCTTTGAAGAAGATGGGATAAAAGACAGTCAAAATCTTAAAATTCAGGATTTAACTAAATTATATCAGCAAAAATATCATACCGGCTTTTATTGTTATGTGTGGAAATTTGATGGAAATGACCAACTGTCAAATCTTTTTTTGAGAAACTAGGCTTCTTGGTTAATTCTAGGCACATATTTAAAATAGTCTGTGCCAAATCAAGGCACATGCTGCAGATGTGCTGCATTGAGGAGAAGAAGAGGTCAATAGCGATAAGACAGAGCAGCAGTCCTGAAACCTAGAGGAGGTGAATCTGCAGCATTGGAAGCAGGAAAAATTGTGCTGCCACTGCCTGACCATTGATGACCTCACTCTCATCCTTAATCACTCAACACAATGCAGGTGTGGTGCATATCTTGGTGCAATACACAGTATTAAAATGTGCTTGGAAGTTGCAAAGGAAATTGAGTTTTCTCAAAATAAAATTTTGGATCGGAAACCAACTGCATCAAAATTATACAAATAACGAAATACCTACGTGATTTTTTTTTTTGGTCATAATTAAGGGGCACTTATTAATTGTGTAGTAAACAAAGCGCTACATACTGGGTTAGTTTTAGGTGAAGGAAATCATTATATTTTATGTTGTTACGTAACGTTACTAAAGTGAATGACATTTTACTTCATGCAGGCAATGTCTAACTTTCAGTTGTCTGTTAACATTACCTGGCCTCTTGGAAGCGACCAGTGAGAATGAAAAGACCTCGCAGAGCAATGAAAGTATCTCGACCCCAGCTCCGCATGTAGCCAGTGGAAAAGTGTGGTAAACCTGTAATAAAAAAGCTGTGAAAACTTTGCTTTCATTTGATAATTCAGATGGATATAACTGAAAGTTCTCTAACAAATAAATATAAGATTTATGAAATAACATGTATTAGAAAAGTTCCAGAAGAAAATAAGAATTATTTTTTATTGAATACAATGAGTTCGTGGTCATAATGAACACACAACTGGGATGGTAATATAAATAATTTCACATTAGTTCATATCCGTTTATATTTTTCCATCATAAATGAGTGGTAAATGATCATTCCAATAGCTTCATATTAAATCATCCTTTTATTAAATTATAATTTTTATAATGTATCCAGCCGCAAATCTATCATTGAAGAGATAAAGTAAAAACACAATTTGTATTATGGCTGTTAAACATTTATTTCTTACCTATCACTCGAAAATTAGCAATCTATAACATCTAAAGCCTACAATGTACATAGATTACACATTAACTTGTTTCTTTTAGGTTCTACTAAACTAAACTGAACTAAACAAAGAATGAATTCAAATTACTGATGATAAACCTGTTTTTGTAAGCATTCTATAGTCAACATTCTAGATTGTCCTCTACCTGCAGATAAAGTCAGACATGCTTGTTCTTCCTCTCCTTGTGCATTCAGCTGTTTGGGAGGCAAGGGCGGAGGCAGTGCAGGTGATAATTGTGGCAGGCGAGCAGACTGAACAAAACCTCCACACTGAACAGAGCCCAATGCCAAACTACGGACAAAACTGGAACCATTCTTCACAAACCTAAAATACACATAAGACAACAAAGTAAACACCACATTCAGTGAAGTGTAATGTTAATTTACTTAACAATAGATATATTTTATAAAGAGATGAGACTGCACCAACACCAGGTTCTGGTAATGGAGGACAGAGACCTGGAAGCTATCTGAATTAGCATTAGAAACTAATAATTGCCACACTAGTTCTGGAATTTAAATCAAATTTGGATCAAAAAACTATCTTTTGCTTAATAAACTAATTCATTTCCTTAAAAATGTAATACTTACATGTATGAGAGAATTGATATAACATAAAGACTGAATACAATTCTTAAAATAATTCAAATCATTATCATGAACAAACCAGAAATTAGGCTTTACAGCCTGTTTCTATTGGTTCTAATTTGAATAATCATTCCCCCCCGCCATAATTCATATCATCACACATATTTTTATATAATTTCATCACACATATTTCAATGCTCAGCAGAACTATTCCTAAATTTACAGTTAATATTAACTTGAATATGTATAAAATAAAAGCATAAATAAGTGCAAATTATACTAAAGCAAGCTGGAAGCTGCACTTTCTACCAGTTTGTGTAAATAACATGAAATGCTATTTTTAGACTAACACTATTTACAACTTGAAATTAACCTTATTTACAACTTGCTCTACATTTGTGAAAGAAACTTCCTTAAGAGAGCATTCTGAAAGCACTTTTCAGTGTTCTCTTAATGAATTAATATAATTAAGTTTATTTTTTATATTTAATATGTTAAAAGCATTTTAGCAGTTAACATCTACATAAGGTGTTGTTTCCAAAGAAGCAAATACAATAAGACTTTTTTCCTTGCCTAAGCAGAAGTGTTAGAACGTGGCATTACCTCTTAGGTTGGGATGAATAAATAAGTTTTATTGAAAACTTATCTGTTTTATAATCAAACCCAATTTAACAACTTCCTTCAATGATTATTTTTTGTCCAAACACCTACAAAATTTGTATGGAAATTAGAGGAGCTTTTCATAAAAACCCATTTGCCACACAACCATTTTCAGTTACAGAAAAATATGTGGTATGTTTGAAATGAAGGTGTAGATGATCCTATATTCGGAATATGCACTTTAGTTTTTATTTTCTGAACATGGATGGCTTTATTTCAAATTGATACATAAGAACTTCTTAAAATTGTGCATTGGTAAACAAACTCCCTTTCATCTCACTTTCCAATCATCTCTATATCATCAATTATTCTAAATGAAATATCAGGCACAGTGAGCTTTTGACAGAGGATGATAGTTGGCATTATGACTCAAGAAGCATGTTACATGATGCAGAAACAGGCCAGTTTATGTAAGAAATGTTTCTCTATAGTGAATCTTTTGCAATGTCAAAAGAATTTCTGATTTTAAACAGAAATTGTCATGCTCTTACAATTACCCACCATTTGCCTTTAAATGAAATATCATTTAATGTTTTGCTTTAGATTAGGGACTCGAACTCTCAAAAATATATTACAAAGTATTCTTCTAGAATCTTCAAACGTAAAATTAAGAATTAGGAAATCAAAACATAAAAATTAACAAATCAAACATAAAATTAACAATCAATTAACAAATCAAAACATAAAAACTTACGGAGACATAAGATTCCATGCTTGTTGAAGCAACATCTGATAACAACCAGTCACAACTGCATCAAAATAACTAGGCACTAAATAGCGAGGAATCTGTTTAACAAGACCAAGTTGTTCTTCCAGCCATCCTCCCAGATCCTTGGTTCCAGAATCTATCTGAAGACGCTGCACAATATAATCTATAATACAGAATTAAAAAACATAACAAATCCTGAAGAAAACGTGTACATGAATAAATTTTTGAAACAAACAAAAGTTGGAAATAAATTTTTAAACATGTCAATCAGTGGGAAAATGTTTTTAAAGAGAGTAATAAACCAGTACCTATCATCCAATTTCCCTGTCGTAGATTGTTACAAAAAGGATGGCCTAAATCATTTTTTACACGAATGTCAGCCAAAAGTGACAGAAAACCTGAAAAGAAAATTAGTCACAATAAATAAGCTAATAGAAGTTAAAATTAGTCAAAATAAATAAGCTAAAAATTATTATAAAAGAAATTCTCACAGGAACTTTCTCAATTCTACATAAATTGTGTAATAGTTTGTTCATAATTTTTTAATAAAATTAACACTGAAAATATTAATTTTTCTGATTTTTGTAATTTCACTTATAATATAACACTACAGAAGAACAAAGAAGGGGAATGATAAAATACCTTGAAGGCCACAGTACACAAGTGGACCAAATCCTGGAATGTCATAAGCTCCAAATCCTTTTCCTTCATCTCGCTCTTCTGCATCACAACGATACAAGGCACGATTGAGATTTGCCAATGTAAGATGGGTCACAACATTTCCCAATCCAACAACACTTGGAATGACCTCCGGAGTAGGTTGTGTGAAAGCATTTACTAGAGAGTGTAACTTCTTTAAAGAAGGAACAACATTGTTTTGAATGCTCACTCTATAATAATAATATAAATATATTAGATAATTCACCAAAATTAGTCAAACTTTTATTAAAGTTAAATAATTCTTAAAGGATAAAATAACACTCAATGAATCAGTAGACAACACAGACATGCACAAAGGGGCGAGGGATTGTAATCCCCCCTGAAACTTTCAAAAAGGGGCCCCCCAGCCCAACATAAATTAGATATAATTTCCTGAAATATGATCAATTCTTCAATTTCCCCTTTTTAAGTTGACACTGGGTAATTGATACATGACATTTGGAGGAGAAGCTCTCCAAAACATCTTCAACTCTGCAAATGATTCAACATAAAATCAATTGTATGTCTTAATTGTATTATTAAAATTTTAAGTTTATTCTCCAACTAGTATGAATATTTGGTATTGGTTATTTATTGGTGAAATGTCAATGTAAATAAAAACGGTTAATGGAAAAGGGGGTTTAATGGTTTAATGGTCCAGGGGCCCCCAGATGATCCTGAAATTTAGTGAGCCCTCCCTCTTGTTTCACGCTGTGCATGCCTATACTACAGAATTATTAATAGAAGACAAAGAAAGTAACTACTATGAGAAACTCAAATGTATTCAATTATGGAAGTTCTTACCTGACCACAACTACAGAACCTGGACAAAAATTAGTAAATTTTAACTGAGTAATATTTGAATCTCCTGTTTCTTCTTGTTCCAAAAAATCAGAATCTGATACTTTCAAATGTTCTCGTATCTTCACTTCATAACCTAAAAGCCCATTAATATATGAGGAATTTTTCTCAAAAGATTTAGGCTTCTCAAAAGAAGGAACTCCAGGTCTGAAAACATGCATTAATATAACATTAAAACTTTTAAAGTACATCTAAAAAATTATAATTCATCATAAAATTATCTACAAATGTATGTAAAAATACAAATTATCATAAATCTATAAATATTACAAGAAAAAAAAATATTCAGAAGTTAATTTCAAATTCTGACCTGCTAGAAACGTGCTGTAAAGAGGCTTCAAAAATAATCTCATCTACAGTTCCCTCTACTCGTAATGGTTTTATATAATGAGGTCTCCAATCTGAAGCTGGATGGCTGAAGGCAGTATAAGCCACTAGAACCACACTCTGATGAGTGTCTGGACAGTGTCTGGTAACTGCTACTATATTGGAATCTATTTGGTCGACGAACACCTAAAATCACAAACAAGACACACAAAATCAACTAACATTTCTTCTACATTTTAACATTTAATGTGGAGGTTCCTACTCTCCAAGATCAAGGTCATGCCCTAGAATGGAACAAATAGATTCAAATAAATCACCTTGTCTCAAGCACATTTACAAGACTTTATAATACTTTACTATAATTTATACAGTTTGGAATAATTTGAATCAAGTTTCCTAAATTCAAGAAGTATATTGATCTAGTTCTGAGAAT